TGGTGGGTTTTTTTTTTATTCCCACAGGTTGGGCAAAAAAAAGGGGTTGGGAAAGGTTTGGGGAAGAAGGGGGGGTGAAAAAAGGGGAAAGTTTTTGGGGGGGGGGGGGGGGGTGGGGGGGGGGTTTTTTTTTTTTCAAAAAACGGTTGGCAAAGGGGTGGGGGAACGGGTTGAGAGGGGTGAAAAAGGGAGTTTTTTTATTGGTTTCAAAACGTGGAGGGTGGAAAAAAATGGTGGAAGAAGGTGAAGGGAGTTGGTGGTTTTTTTCAACGTGGCAGGGAGTGGGGAAGGTGGAGAGGGGGTTGAAAGGAAAGTGTGGTTTTCAAACGGTGGGGGCAAGGGTGAAAAGGAGAGAGGGGGTGAAAGGAGGTGTGGTTTCACGTGGGCAGGGTGGGAAAGGAAGAGAGGGTGAAGGGAGTGGTGGGTTACGTGGCAGGGTGACGGTGAGAAGGGTGAAGGAGTGTGGATTCACGTGCAAGAAGTGAGGGTGGTGAAGGAGTGTGGTTCACGTGGCAAGGTGATGAGAGGTGAAGGAGTGGTGGTTCACGTGGCCGGGTGAAAGGTGAGAGGGTGAAGGAGTGTGGTTCCCGTGGCAGGGTGATGGTGAGAGGGTGAAGGAGTGTGGTTCACGTGGCAGGGTGAAGGTGAGAGGGTGAAGGAGTGTGGTTCACGTGGCAGGGTGACGGTGAGAGGGTGAAGGAGTGTGGTTCACGTGGGTGAGGTGAGAGGTGAAGGAGTGTGGTACGTTAGAGAGGGTGAAGGAGTGTGGTTCACGTGGCAGGGTGAAGGTGAGAGGGTGAAGGAGTGTGGTTCACGTGGCAGGTGACGGTGAGAGGGTGAAGGAGTGTGGTTCACGTGGCAGGGTGAGGTGAGAGGGTGAAGGAGTGTGGTTCACGTGGCAGGGTGACGGTGAGAGGGTGAAGGAGTGTGGTTCGCGTGGCATGGTGATGGTGAGAGGGTGAAGGAGTGTGGTTCACGTGGCAGGGTGAAGGTGAAGAGGTGAAGGAGTGTGGGTTCACGTGGCAGGGTGAAGTGAGAGGGTGAAGGAAGTGTGGTTCACGTGGCAGGGTGAAGGTGAGAGGGTGAAGGAGTGTTTCACGTGCAGGGTGAGGTGAGAGGGTGAAGGAGTGTGGTTCACGTGGCAGGGTGAAGGTGAGAGGGTGAAGGAGTGTGGTTCACGTGGCAGGGGTGACGGTGAGAGGGTGAAGGAGTGTGGTTCACGTGGCAGGGTGAAGGTGAGAGGGTGAAGGAAGTGTGGTTCACGTGGCAGGGTGATGGTGAGAGGGTGAAGGAGTGTGGTTCACGTGGCAGGGTGATGGTGAGAGGGTGAAGGAGTGTGGTTCACGGGGCAGGGTGAATGTGAGAAGGTGACGGAGTGTGGTTCACGTGGCCTGGTGAAGGAGAGAGGGTGAAGGAGTGTGGTTCACGTGGCAGGGTGAAGGAGAGAGGGTGAAGGAGTGTG